GGGGGGGGGGGGGGGGGGGGGGCGAGCCGTACCACCGCGTGCCATCGCGTATAGTGCGAGGTGAATTGCGGAAGTAACAACAGGTTCCGCATTCCTTTCTCGCGTCGCGTCGTCCGCAGCGCGCTACGGCGATAAAGTAGATCGATACTATCGTCAATAACTCCACGTGTAGATGTCGCAGCGGCTTGAAACAAGAACCATTGAAAAGGGAAAATTGTCGCGCTTCCGATGAACGTGAACTTCGCGTTGCGATGACACGACGAATCGCCGTGTATCCCATTGATCCGCGCTCAGAACCGTGATTAGTCTCGTCTTTCCGATCGATTAGTACTCGTGTAATTAGTGAAGTAACGAATAAGTGTCCGGTAAAGTGAATAATAGGCGGACAAGCATAATGACAAGTGATTGGCTCGATGCGACAACCGATGAACGACGGTCAGTAAAACAGGTATTTATTCTCTGATTCTATCTCATTTTTTCGAAATATTGCATTTTAAACGCAGTGTGATCAAAAGTCCGCGACATAGAAGTAACATAGAAATTATGTCTTATACACACATACATACAAGGAAAATTATTCTATTCAGGTTTTTTTCTTAATACCGAAAACTTAGATCCTTTTGTCACCGTACGTTGAAATCGTGGAGAAATTGTAAGCTTTTCTCTTTGTAATTTCAATTTCTTGCCTAAATTTAAATCTTAAATATATTAATTTATTTCCAATCTTTATATCTAATATTAGGTTGATATGTATAACAAATATATCAATTTATTTCAAATCTAATATTCTGTTTTTGGGCGATTCTTAACAGTTAAAACTTCGTAACAGAAACAGTGTCGAAAATGTTACACTTGTACATAAATGTGACCTGTTTACCGACGAAAGATTATCTACGAACGATGATCGTAATAGATTGAGGCTATGTTCGATATAGAGAATACGATACAAAGAACATTCGAATTACGCGGCGATACTTTTGCGTTAGACAAGCAACGCCACGATGGTACTTAGCCTAATCTAATTTCACAAGATATCGATTCTATATTCGTCCTATTTCTTTATTATGAATTATTACGTGTCACTGTTTGACATAATACCTTTGCGCCTCTAATCCGTTTTGATCATCTTATAGTCTGCGAGAAAAAATATCTAAAAAGTAGTATGTATTTTAGTAGGTACTAATAACATATTTACTTAAATCTAAATTTTTTTATTTCAACAGAATAAATAATTGTTTTCATGAGAAACTAAGGTTTTCTTAAAGTTTTGAAAAAATGTTTTTATATATTTTTTATTTAAAATTTTTTACTTTTATATACGTTTATAATTTGGAAAATATTCATATATATTAATATAAATAAATATGTTATTAGTACTTATTGAAGAAATGTTTGCTATTTTTGAGATATTTCTTTTCTCATAATGTAGTTTACAATGCGTATGTGTTATGTCGAAAATATAGATTTTGAACTGGCTGACCCCGTAATCTTTCGTCGGTAAGCAGGTCACATTTATGTACAAGTGTAACATTTTCGACACTGTTTCTGTTACGAAGTTTTAACTGTTAAGAATCGCCCAAAAACAGAATATTAGATTTGAAATAAATTGATATATTTGTTATACATATCAACCTAATATTAGATATAAAGATTGGAAATAAATTAATATATTTAAGATTTAAATTTAGGCAAGAAATTGAAATTACAAAGAGAAAAGCTTACAATTTCTCCACGATTTCAACGTACGGTGACAAAAGGATCTAAGTTTTCGATGTATTAAGAAAAAAACCTGAATAGAATAATTTTCCTTGTATGTATGTGTGTGTATAATATCAATAATAACAACATTCGCGTAGATTACTCTTGAAAATCAAGTTAATTGTTGTATTATTCCCCTTATTCCCTTGTTGTATTTTTCCCCTTAAAATAAATGAATTTTTATTTAAGCAGGCATATTAAACATGTATTACAAGTGAAATAAAATTGAGTTCACTGCCTTTATTCGTCGTGTGCATTTTCTCGCGTAGAAAAGATAGAACTATAAAGTAACCGTCCCTGTACGGTTGTATATAGACTCGATATTGCTACACTTTGAGATAAACTTCTATTTTCTTCTGCTACGAATATACAGTTTATCATCTATATATGTAAGAGAAGTCGTAACGCTGCTTGAAGCGCGCGTGATAAGGAAATTATCATCCATGATCGTGCAATTATGGGGAACTGGCCAGTAGTCACGAGACTGGGAATGCTTATTAAATTTTTATTGTACCACGTAATAATAATAATAATAATAATATTAATAATAATAATCATGATCATCATCGCAATAATAAATTGATAAAATGACAATAATAAATGGTAGTAATAATAATAATAATCATTTATCATCGTAATAATAATAGTTTCGTAATAATAATAATAATCATAATAATGATACTTCATCGTCGTCGGTAATAATCCAATGACAAATGTCAATATTTCATATAGTAGCGTGTCGAACGGAGAAACGACCTTAAAAAACGAAGACAGTATCAATGTTCGTTCGTACATTTTGTTTTTTAGCTTCCGCCGTTTTTTTATCTTCTCGCTCTTACTCTCTTTAGGATCTCTTCTACCTCTCGCTCTCGCATCTTCCACACGCGCATTCTCACTCGACTTCACTTCCTTTTATTTATCTTTTTTTTTTGCTTTTAATCTCCCCTTTTCTCTCACACACACGCACACTTTCTCCCTCTGTCTCGTGTCTCTTACACAATTGATGCAAAATGTCCCTACGCAGTCCGACGAATGTGTGTGTGTGTACGTTTTCCCGGTTTTTCTCTTTAATCAATCCTCACGATCGCATTTTGCTCGACGCTTTCCTCATTTTTTTTCCACCTTTCCTCCATAAAATTCTAGACTGCTTTTTTTTCTTTGAAATCCTTGCACGTGTTGACACATTCACTCACACTGGTAAAGTGGTTTGGTAGTGGAGGGACCGGGGAGGGCGGGTTGGATGTGTGAGGGGGGTAGTGTTGGCGGTGGAGTGGTCAGGGTGGGAACGGGATATATCCGCGAGGTTTGTACCGCACGTGAGGATGCTGTTGTAATTAGGCGGGGGGTTTGCAGGGTGAAGGGAGTCGGGCGGGGGGAATAAGGGGGGCGCGCAATACTAGTGAGAAAAACGGATACGTCGCGGTGAAAAAAAAAAGAAGGTGACAGCGACGTCGCGACCGTCGATCGAATAGCGACCTCGCCGATTTCTCTCAATCGTGTTCGGGATGTTCGGAGCCGATTGAACGCATTCGCGATCTCGAAGAACTCGCTGCCGATCGAACGCCGATTCGCGCCGTGAGCGTCGAAAAATTGATCAACGATCGATCTACGATCGCGATACGGGAGAACTAAAACTGCGATCTGCGCGCGATAAAGAAAATATGCAACTATATATTGCCTCGTGTTTTTACGCGATTTTTGTTTCCGCTGTTCCGACATTATTTTTTCCGAAAAAAACCCGGTCGTTCGAACTATTTCTCATTTTTTCTTATCTCTTTTTTTTTTTTGCTTTTTTTCTTTTGCGTATTTCGACCTGTACTATTGCTGTCCGAGCTACTTTTGCCTCCTATCGCCTCACCTCCTCTCCGCGAGTCCCCAAGCGCGTCGATCTGCCGGCAAAAATTTTCCCAAATCTGGGCCCGTCCCCGTTACCGGGTCGGACCCGAGGCACTCGTTCTGGTTGTCCGAAAGTTGCACGATCGCGTGTCGATCCGGCAGGATCGTCGCGCCAGGGAACGCGCTCGCACGTCTCGTACGTGTAGCGTGTGTTGGTTCATGTATGTACGTATATACGAACATACATACATACATACATACATATATGTATATTTTTATATATAGATATATATTCGGCTATTTTCTTTCCTCTTTTGGTCCTGGTATAAAGGAAACGAAAATCACTCAGAGTTTCTAATTTAGTTTCTTTTTTTGTCTCGGAAGAACCGCGGTCTCGAAAAGTGGAAAAAAGTCGCCCGTGACAATTTGGAAACTTCCCGAAAATTCGCGATTTCGAAGAATTATTTTTTTTACTCGCGTTTTTGACTGCTTTTCATATTACGGCCGTGACTCGGTTTTGACTATTGACTTTACTGGAGGGGAGGGGAACTCTGTTTTGTTGCCTGTCGACATGCAATGTGCAATCACCATCGAGAAATTCTCTCACTCTCATTCTCATTCTTTCTCTCACGCTCTTTCTTACTCTCTTACGCTCTTTCTCACTTACGCTCCCTATATGTATACCTCGAGTTCGATAATTTCGTCTAAAATTCCATTTTTGCCTTAACTATACACAATAATCATAATATATAATAATAATAATCACGATTCGAATACATCATCGATCATTTTCCGAATATAGATACAATAATTTCTTATTTTTCATCGTCTTCCTACTGCCTTGCTTTTTCTCTTTCTCTCTCTCTCTCTCTCTCTCTCTCTCTCTGTCTCTTTCTCTCGTTCTCTTTCACACACTCTCCCTCTCTTTCTTTCTTTCTTTCTTTCTTTCTCTCTCTCTCTCTCTCTCTCTCTCTCTCTCTTTCTCTCTCTCTCTCTCTTGCAATTACATCTTGCAATAATAATCGTTTAGGTCGTCGTATATCTATACATATACATATACATATACATATATATATATATAATTTATAAAATGAAAATAGGTACAATTTTGGACGCTTTTCTTCGTCGAAAAAACGCTCCGAAAATTTTATTTTCGCTTAATAATGCCCATCGGTTGCGATTCTAGTCCACTTGGTAGTAAAATTTTGTTTATTCTCCTATCTTGCACACACATTTACATCCCATTTTCTCTCAACACACCGTTCTCTCTTTCGCTTTCTCTCGTTTTCGCTCTGTCTCTCTCGCTCCGTCCCTTTCACACTGTCATCTTCATTCGCTCGATTAGCATTCACGTCAACGTATACACTCGTCAATACACATTCACTCTCTCTCGTACGTTCATCCTCTGTCTTGCAATTTATCTCGCTCTCGCAGGCAAACCCTTGCTCTCTCATTCACAAAATTGCAGCGATAGTCGCCCTCTCGCGATATATATCCGCCTTTCCGCCGCTAATTTCTAAAAAAGACCTTAAATTTAGGCTGGCCGATCGCGTGCTTCCGGAATCGACGAGCTTCCGTTTGCGCTTACGAAGGAACGAATTTCACGAGCGGGGAGCGCGTGTGATTTCGCATAATTTCCGCATATTTACAACTTCATTTCGAATTCCTCCGCAACCTCGTCTTCCGTGCAACAGTCCGAGGTGTCAATCACGAATATCGTCGTCGCGCGAAAGGTCGTCCAGCCGGAAGTCGTGAGGCACAAAGAATTTATTTTCGCTTAATCTTCTTTTTCCTTCGCCTATCTTCGATCTACACGCCCGCGAATCGGCCTCGCGATCCGGTCGAAGTGATCTT